GATGGGACAAAAACAGCATCTGATGTTATAGTCTGTTGTACTGGGTATCATATTGATCTGCCGTTTTTAGATGACAAAGTTAAAGCTCAAGTTTTGGAGGAAAGCACCAACAAAATGAAGCTCTTCAAAAATGTTTTTGCTCCAGAAATTGGAGCCTCATTAGCATTCGTAGGTTTTATGCAGCCAGCTTCTGGTGGTCTACTGTCAGTTTCTGAAATCCAAGTTCGATGGTTTTCAGAGCTGTGTAAAGGAACAATCAAATTCCCTTCGATAGAGAAAATGTTCCACAACATGAAGCAAGACCAGCAAAGAAGTGAGAGCATCTACAATGCCTCAGCAAGACACACCATTCAACAAGACCCCATTCCTTACATTGACGAGCTAGCATCTTATTTCGGTGCAAGGCCGCAGCTATGGAGACACCCCTCCTTGGCTTGGAATTTGATTATAGGTTCTTGTGGGCCAGCTCAGTGGAGACTGCAGGGTCGACACAAGTGGAGCAAGGCTAAAGAAGTTGTACGTTCTGTTCCCATCACCCCACTCATGCATTATGGAACCATCACTTTGCTTGTAATCTTGGGGTCTCTGCTTGGGGTCTTTGCTTGTAACCATCACTTTGCTTGGTAATGTTCATTGTAACCTTTATCATTCTTAAATTTTGTTAAACCAGAAACTTCATACACTAACATCAACATGCATATTCTCCATACTGTTCTCTATACATTTCCTAAAGTACTGACATGGACAATTTGTGTAACGATCAAGAGCTTCTCCAAGTGGTGATCATTTCCTTAATTCTCAGGACCTTGATGTGTGATTCAGGGAGGATATTGTAAGGAGAAATTAGATGCTGGTCCCTCTTGGATTCAAAGGGTTACCATCATGGTAATTTTTTGCACTCTTGTTGTCTGTTACATTTTATACTTTTTTTTCTTTCTTTGGCTTTTCCTCTTTTTCTTTTTATAATAAGAAAACAAGGAACAAGCAAATGAACGACCAAGAATTGAGCCACTTTAGTAAGTACAGGTTAACAACGAAGAAATTAACTAAACCGAAGAAGGTTTTCAAAGTATTGAATTACTCGTAAAAAATGTCGAATTATACACATAGTGTTTCAGTGACAGTAAAGATGAGATGAGAAGTGAAATAGTTATTTAGTTTTGACCTAAAGTCGTGAGCTGTCCGCGCTTAATTTTTTTTTTTTTACCAACAACTTAATCCGAAATAATGATCAGCTGTTTTAAAATCCTTTAATAACGAGAAGTTATTTTCCAAGAATATCAATCTATTAAAGAGAATTGACCCTCTCTAGTAAATAGGTTACCGGCGAAATTAAGTAAACCGAACAACGTTTTCAAAGTATCGAATTACTCGAAAAAAATGTCGAATTATAAACCGAATGCAAATATGGCGTCCAATTTGAGTTGCCATTGTTCTGGACTCACTAGCCTCTCACACACGTAATAATCCTATTGTGTTTCCACGCGAAGACGAGGTTAGTGAGTCCAGAACAATGGCAACTCAAAGTGGACGCCATATTTGCAATCGGTGTATACACACAGTGTTTCAGTGACAGTAAAGATCAGATGACGAGTGAAGAAGTCATTTAGTTTCGATTTAAAGTCGTAAGCTGTCCGCGCTTAATTTTTTTTTACCAACAAATTAATCTGAGAAAATGGTCAGCTGTTTTAAAATCCTTTAACAAACAGAAGTTATTTTCCTAGAGTATCAATGTATTAAAGAGAATTGAGTCTCTCTTGTAAATAGAGGTTACCGGCGAAGAAATTAACTAAACCGAACAACATTTTCAAAATATTAGATTACTCATGGGTAATATCGAATTCAAGACGTAATGTTTCAGTGACAGTTGAAAAAAGGGACTTTGATTACGTAATTACCGTCGATCTGATTTAAAGCAGCTGGAGTTCTGTTTTGTTTCATTATCGAGTTTACCCCTATGTTTTTCGTGTGGTATTGTTCACAGATTGAATCGCTTACGTAGCTAGGCGTTCCTGTTTGAACCGGTTTACAATGATAGCCTTATTAGAGAACGCCCTCCTTATTATTGTGGAGTTGAAGTTAGGAGATCGAAGGGGTCACATCGGAGTAGTTTATTAACGTTTTGTCTGTTCGAGTAACGCAACGTTGGAGTTTCTTTACGCCTTTAAGACGAGATCAGATGTAGATTGCAGTCTATTTTATTCCGTTTTCTTTTCCTTTCGCTTCCTTTTGTTATTATTCTTGGCGCTTTTCCTTATCCTGTACATTGTAATTTTCTCCTTTTAGTTTTACCGCACGTGTAAAAAATACTGAGAAGTTAATCAATGCTTGACCACATTGTTACTTCATATTATAAGACGAAATGAAATGCATAATTCCTCGATATACGTAAAATTTGGGTCGGTGGTTGTCCTTCAAAGTAACAGTTATTGAGGTGAAGCCACTGGCCACACTTCCTGTCTTGCCTTGATGTTCTCCGGTGTCTTTCGGTGCTTATTATTTTATCTTCTTAGTTCGACATTCGCACTCGATACACATTTGAGTTCTCCCCTTTTGTGATAAGACTGAGTGT